ACCCGCAAAGACACTTGGGATAGGCCTGCATCCTCCTCTGGGTGAGGCTGTTATTTTTGGAATAGGTTTAAGCAGTCAATTGTGTTAAAAGTCTTTAACTGACGTGTGTCACGTTAATAGGCTAAAAAAACTTTGGCGGTGTCAGTTGTCTAAAAAAAAACGTGTATTTCCTTCTTTCCTTTTTTCCCCGTTTGAAAATTCTGGCATCTGCGCGAAGGTTTATTATCGTCCTGAACAAAGAATATTCAGGGTCTGAGGATTCGAATCCCGAATCACGAGTTATTTTTTCCCTCGAAATCCCGCGTCCAGCGACATTATATAAACCACGACCAAATCCAACATATCACAAAGGCGTTTAAATATTTATTCAGAATTTATGAATATTTTCACGTTTCCCCTAAAAAATCCGATACCAAAATTCCACATCCCGGACTGAGTTCGGCATTTCCCGAGTCACGGCCGATGCATTTTTTTCTAGTCCTGGATCCTGCGCTAAATTTTATCCGTTTCCCGCGGGCTCCCGCGAATCAAAACATTACTAATTCAGACCAACCACCTCTCCTCTCCTCTCCTCTCCTCTCCTCTCCTCTCCTCTCCTCCTCTCCTCTCCTGAAATGGCATCAATCACAGGGACAGCGAAGCGATTTAGGATTGGGGAGGGTAATATTTCAGAAATCTCTTCCGAACAGAATATAAGAGAATGAATCAAAATGGCCGCAAAATTATTGGGGGAGGGGGGGGGGAGGTATAGCTATCCATTTTTTCCTGATCTTAAAGAAGGTAGTCTCCCTCGCATCCGTTTTTAGTGTCGGTCGTCACGCAACGCTCCCTCCCCACGGATGCGAGAGAGACTAAAGAAGGCGGAACTCACGTATTTGGCCCAACGCCCGTCACATCGGAACCGTTCGTTTCCCGCGTGATTCCTAAATATAACGCTCTTTCTTTTAAAAGGCGTTTTATCTTTCATTTTTTAAACTTATTCCCTTAAGAACTTGAAATAATACCAAAATATCAAATCGCTTGTAATATATAATTATCATTCGCGCACGAGATCACTTACCCTGTCAAAACAAACAAAGCCTTTAGCTTGGCGTAAAGCTCATTTCCGGTCAAGTGACTCGTTCCATGCTCAGGCATGCAAACTCACTTCCTAAATTTCCAAGAAAAGCAGCCGTAATATGACCTGAATTTTAGTTATCTCCTTTTTTTCAGGTTCAAAACTAAYGTCCTTAAGATCTAAGCTGGCCTGAAAATGGAACCAGAGATTAAACTTACTGTTAAAGCGACTGCAAAGCTGCAGTTTGAGAAGACGAGAGATCCAAGACCTTCTGGATGGCTTTCCGTCTTCAAATGGGTTTTTGCAGGCTTTCTCTCTATCTTTGTTTTAGCTTGTGTCGTTACAAGCAAAATTTCACTGCTGGCTATTGGGAAATACTATAACGAAACGAGACTGTCTGTTAAAACTGACGAAAAAAATTCATCTTCGAAGGAGACCACTTTTATAATGRTGGTATTCATCCTTATGATACCACAGTTCTTGTCCCTCGTGAGGGCTGTATTCATAAGCTTGTTCCGACATACACATTCTTGGCCGACAAATTCTGCAATAATATGGGTAGGTGTATACTCCTTAGCTATTATTCTCTAACTTATGAAAATTTTTAAAAGTTTGGGGAAGTTTCTGGTTAGCAAGATTCAAATGTGCCAGCAAGACACATGCATTGCTAAGAATAATTTGCATCAATGACTGTAAGGTCATATGATCTTCGGAATGAATCTTTGATTTCTTGCTGTTATTTGTGCCTTTATAATTTACTTTTCCTTTTGTTTATTCTAAAAAGGAAAGGCAGTGCCTCATCATTTTTTCTTCCCTTTCCTTGTAACATTTTTATATCATTTACACCTACTTGCAAGAAGGTTGCCATACGTCAAGAATAGAACATTAAAAATTAAGAAATTCATTAAAAGACAAAAGAAAAAGTTCGTCTTCAGTGATCTTCTTTTGTCTTTTAATGTATTCCTTTCTCACTAAATCACTACTGTTCTATTTTCGTATGACAACGTTCATGCAAGTAGGTGTATGTCATGCGGCTGAAATTGAAACTTATTAATAGAGGTTTTGCACCATCAAGTGCCGGGACCATAATCCAGCTTGGACTGCCTGTGGTTAGATGGCAGAACAATGAAGTCCCTATATTAAGATATAAATAGAATAAAATGAAAGATACAAAATATACAATAAGTAATATTAAACTTAAAGACTCAGGGCTTGAAATAGCAGCCTTCTGCCAAAAAGCCAAATGACAGGCCAAATTTCAGGTTTGGCAGGTGAAAAAATGATGCACTGCTAAATGAATAATAAAATGGCAAGCAAAATTTACTGGAATGACCAGTTGCTTATGAGAAGACACATGAATATTGAATCTTATTCTCACATCTGAAGTTGTCAAAATATTTCGCCCAAATAAATTAGATCCATATAGATGGTCAGACATATATGCACATTCTTGTTTTTTAGCCCATTCATACCTTTTACATTGACTAATGGTTCAACATTAGTGGTCAAACTGACTGGCAAAACAAAGATTTTACCAGACAAGTTCCAAATTCTGACAATATGCAGACATTGTCTGATGACTGCCCATTATCTTAAGCCTTGTTCCGATTCCCACCTCATAAGCTAATTAGCAACAGCCCTTGAACCCGAATGGACTACTGACTTGATCATACTAGCCATGAGGGCGAGAGGACTAATATTGTATTAGTCAAGTCCAACTTGTTGGTGAAAGTTATATATGCAAATCAAATTAAGGCTAAATTTAATGTTTTGGTTTTCAAAGGTGGCAGTTTTCGCTGCTAGTCATGGCTATAACTTATAGCCTAGTAGTCAGCTCATCCAATCAGAATGCAGCATTGATTATAGACCACAAGTTGGATTTGACTAATGATGCATATGAATGGTTCCCTAATTATATATCCCCATATCATCACCATCATCGATCTTCGTCATGCTTATATTACTATTATTTATTTTCAATTAAATTATTTATTTATGCAACTTTAGCACTAAGAGGTGGACAAAAAAAACAAAACAACAGTTTTCTCTTTTAAAGCTTTCTAGGACCCAATTACAATGCAACCAAAAGAACAAATTAGAATAGACCAGTTTCGAATTCCAAGTTACCGCTGTGTTCCTTGATTACAGACTCATTTGCACAGGGTTAGCCTCGTATCAGTGTTTAAATATTCACAAATACCAACGGTAAAGTAAAGAATGCACAACTTCAACAATACAAACACTTTGAAGCTCGACGGACCTTGACTGCAACACGTGAATATTCTGCACAAACTCGAGGCTAACCCTGTGCAAATGAGTCTGTAATCAAGAAACACAGCGGTAATTTGGAATTCGAAACGAGTCTATTTGTAGGTTGATTTTAAGATCTAATTTCTATATAATGATCATCATTATCTTTATCTATTTCTTGCAGTGTCTGGTGGCAGGATCCTTAGAAGTAGTTGGTCTGTCATTCTTCTTGGTAGTCATCGTTCTCAAGACCACCCTAACTGCACCTCATTGCATTCTTGTAATGAATGCATTGTTTCTTGTCCCCATTATATGGCAAATGAATAAATTGAGAGACGGAGCGCAAAACCATCGTTGGCCAATGATTTTTCTTGTGTTTGCTCTTGTGCTGGAAATTGTAGGAATTGCTCTAATTACTTACGACGTGAGTATAAATTGCTTGTTACCATAGCTACCAGTGAACTAAAGTGCATATGGTGGGGGACTGGAATTTCCAAGGGGTGGGGAGGGTCTGAAGAAGGGTATTTGTTGTAGTTCCAGACAATATCCATACAGTCGTTTGCAACTAAGCGTGAACTCCATACACTAAAACATGTTCTAACTGGCGGCCGAAACATTGAAGTTATAGTCAACCGGAATGCGTATGTTTCGTAATGATTCGTTGGACGGTTGGGTGCGCAAATTCCTTCAGGTACTTTAATCTCGAAAGAATCAAAATCGTTTTCCCTCCAGTACTTCATGCTTTTGTTTGAAGTAAAGCCTTTTTTTCAAAAATGTGAAGAATACTGAAGGAGATTAGGATCGATCTCTTCTAGAAACTTGCTTATGTCTACTCTTTCGAAGGAATCCATGACCAACACCAACAGATCAAGGTGTACGCGTATTTGAACAAACGTTGCCATCAGGCTGGTACTGTGGCGCCAAAACTCAACCTTCCGGTTAAAGTCCTTTTTTACGAGGGTAGCACTTAATAGCCAGTGCGGGCTAACAAACCTGTGGCCCTCATTCCATGATCGGATTGGAATTTAGGAGTTGATTTTTGACTAGCTTCAAGGTTTCGCCTGCCAGTTAGAACATGTTTTAGTGTCTGGTGTTCACCCTTAGTTGCAAACGACTGTATCCCATGGTGGCAGATTGGAATTTGCAAGGGATTAGAAGGTCTGCACGGGTAGTCAGTATATTGTGTAGCTCTTAAAAATTTTAATTTTTCAACCATGGGTGGGAAATGGAATTTCAAAGTGGTAGGAGGGTCTGAGGAGTGTATGTTGTAAAGTTCCAGAGAATATCCATACCTTTTTTTCTTAATTGTAATTTTCGAGGGGTGGGGGATCCGGACGTTTATTGTGAAGTTCCAGAAAAATATCTATACATTCCCTATAGAGGAGAATTGGAATTTCCAAGGGGTGGGGAGGTTCTGAGGAGGGTATATTGTGTAGTTCCAGAAAAATATCCATACCTCCCCCAAGGAGGGGGATTGAAACTTCCAAGGGGTGGGGATCTCAAGGGTCTGAGGAGTTTATGATATATATAGTTCCAGAAAATATCCATAGTATACCTCACCCATGGAGAAGGATTGGAATTTCTAAGGGATGGGGAGGGTCTTAGAAGGCCATTATTGTGCACTCCAATGAGCAGAGGCAGATCCAGGGGGGGGGAGGGGGGGCAAAGGGGGACTGAAGCCCCCCTTCAGCAGAAAAAAAAAACAAAAACAAAACTGAAGAATGAGATGCTTTTTTTTACTGTTTTTCGTTGTGTTCACAGAAGAAACTCAATAAGCCCCCTCCCCCCCCAACTCAAATAGCCCCCCCCCCATAAAATTTTGGCTGGATCCGCCCTTGATATTGTTTATATTATGTACTTCAACCCAAAAGAAGTATGAGGCATATTATTAAAAATACTTATTGATGTTTTGTGGTAGGTTATTAAGAAGGAAAACCAAATTGAGTTTGCTGGTATTCCTGCCTCACTCATCCTCTTGTCCATCGCCTGGTGTCCCAAGATACAGAAACTACAGATTAAACCCAGAAATGAAGCTGATCCTTTTGAAGACTCAGTGTTTAGGAATGATCTATCGGTAAGGTTTTCACAAACAAGGGTTCTACAATATGCCAAAATAGCACAATCATTCATAAAAGAAAAAAWATATATTTTCCATCATCTTTGTTTTATTTCAAATTAACTTTCAACTTTTGCTGAGTAAACTTTTATATTTCCTTTCGTTTGTTTGTATTGATTTAATATTAAGATGACACGCTGGATGTACAAACTCCCTATTTGATTTGCATTGAGGTGATTGATACCAAGCAAAAGAATTATTGCAGCACTTTGGAATGCAGCTCAATCTGGAAGACATAACAATAGGTTTCCGTATAAAAAGCAGATATCAGAGTTTACACTCTGTTGCCTTCAAACAATTGTTTCAAGTTGAGGCATTTGGGTCAATACGATGAAATGTATAGAACCTGACCCAAATGAGACAATTGTTTGAAGGTAATAGAGTGAAACTCCAATATCTGCTATTCTCATGAGCTTTAAGTTATTTTGTTTTGTCCTCCAAATAGGCCTTTTGCAACAACAGGTCACGTGCCCCCCCCCCAATCCCGTAAAAAGAGACGTTGTGTCAAATTGAACACCAGAAATGGAAAGAGCACCTCAATATTTGTAAGAAGGCAAAGTTTAAGCTTATAACATGTAACAATGGAGAAATGGCATTAAATACAAAATTGAATATTTGATAAGGATTTGTATGGGGAAATGTGTTGTGAAATGTGTGGCAAGCTTTGCCATCCAGCACATTTTCCTATACAAATCCTTATCAAATATTCGAATTTATATTCAATGCTATTTCTCCTACAGTCAACATTATAAGCTAAAACTTTAGCTAAAACGTCACACGCAAGGGGTCTATAACTACAGTGCTCTTCCGTTTTGATACAGGGAAGTATGCCAAGTACATCAGGGATGCAAGGGACATCTACAGCTAATCCTAACCAAAATATGAACACTGGCATTGAAGAGTTTGGCTATGAACCAACAGCTCGAGGGAAATCGACCATCATTGCAAGCTTCTGGAAGCTTCTTCTCACACCAATTGTTGCAGCTCTCTTCTGCTACGCTTTTGGTGTGGCAAATCTCCACCCCAGCAGCTTACAGAAAGGCTTTGATAACTTTGGTGTGGGCCCAGCCAAATATTTTTTCTCTGCACAGATTGTTACTAGTCTTGTAGGATACATTTTGGGTAAGTCTTCGGTTACGTTGTTTTCTTTGTCGTGCCTTAGTAGCAGATTTAGTGGGTGTAGGTTGAGTTGCCTCTCCCAGGTGAAAACTAAGCCCAATTTTATTCAGTAATGATAGAGGTTGTTTCAGGGCTTGATCTGTGGGTTAGCCATGCCCTGACTTAGTTCAGCCCAGAGGTTGTTTTAGGGTTCGATCTGTGAATTAACTAATATGCTCTGACTTAGATCAGCCCAGAGGTTGTTCCAGGGTTTAAACTGTGAGTTAGCCATGCCCTGACTTAGATCAGCCCAGAGGTTGTTTCAAGATTCAATCTGTTAGTTAGCCGTACCCTGACTAAGATCAGCCCAGAGATTGTTTCAGGGCTGGATCTGTGAGTTAGGCGTGCCCTGACTTAAATATTTCTTCTAATCCTTAGGTGGCCTTGCCTGTGCCATGTGCATACAACGAGTGGCCTTCGCACTACCTCTTACCTTAGCCACGCCTGTTGCCATGGTACTCATATATATACCACAYATTTGTTCTACATCTTCCATCCCATTTACGTGTAACCATGGTGATGAGGAATATGTAATACCAATAGCCGTCGGCCTTTGGGTTGCACAGTTTCTTTCCACTGGCTTCTATGTTTGGAAGGGCCAGACCTTCATCATGGCCAAGGAGTCTTCCTTGTTTTGGTTGCCTTCTTATAACGGTGAGAAATGAAAAAGAGCTTTATATTGACTGCTTTGCGATGTGTGACTGCTCTGCGATGTGATTCACAATTTTCTATTTTATGATAGGTGCCTTCTTGGAGCAAAACCTTCTTCTCAACCGTAAAAACCAAATCACAGACGAATATCAGGTGAACCAGCGGGAAATCACAAAGAAATCATGCGTCTACATCTGTACGACAATGTACCATGAAACTGAAACTGAAATGGAACAGTTGTTACATTCATTACATGATGTAGACATGGCCAGACTGGCTTCCAAGCGTCAGTTTGAAGCTCATATTTTCTTTGACGGGGCGGTGAAAGGAGAAGTCCTCAATGACTTTGTTTTACAATTGATTGCCTTGGTGCCCAAGACCCTGAAGGTGAAGATTGAAAGCACTATGAAAATCAAAACTCCTTATGGGATGCAGCTAAGGTGGAAGCTCCCTGGTGGCATGCCATTTGTCATTCATCTCAAGGACAATCTAAAGGTTTATTAATTATTAATTAAATATTATTTTTAATTTCTAATTCATTCATGATTTATGATTTATAATTTATGATTTATTTATATATTATTTATATATTATTTATATATTATTATTATTAATTATAATTTATTAGTAGTAGTATTGTTTGGTTGCGCTTGACGTCATTTACTGCCTTGTGCGGAATAGGCCATTCTTAGCTCGATTAAACGGGATGCATTGTGGTCTAGTTTTATTTTAACTCTGAAATAGACTCTGCTCAATTAAAGCCCCGTTTACACTAGCGATTTTTGCTGCAATTTTTGCTGCGATTTTTTTGCGATTTTGTCCATAATAGATAATGGTAAAGAATTTACTTGGAAAGTTTTTTTCAGGATACCAAGATTTTCCAAGACGTATGTCTCTTTTGAAGGATGAGACAAAAGATTTCATATTCCCGAAAATTGCCACAAAAATCGCAGCAAAAATCGCCAGTGTAAACGGGCCGAAGCACGAAGCGTGGCGGAGAGCTTCTCGACACTTCTCGATCCCCAAGTGCTTCATAACTGACACAGCACAGCAAGCAAGTTTTTTGTTTCCATCAAATAAAAATTACAATGCCCCTCTTTTAGATAGGAATGACGCAAAGGAAAGTGCGCGCGTGCAATGTGCCCATAAAGCACGCTCCTAACCAATCAGAACACGACATTCATAACAGTTATTTTAAAATGTTTTTTTTGATATGGATAATGAAATCAAGGTCAAGAATAAAAAACGCTGGAGTCAAGCCATGTACATGTCCTACGTCTTGGACTACAAAGAGACCATGATGGGTTCTACTGACGACAATACCTATATCCTAGCAACCGATGCTGACGTCAGGTTTACCCATGAATCTGTGCAGGCATTGCTGGACTTGATGATGAGAGATCCTAAGGTTGGGGCGGTTTGTGGGCGTACTCACCCATTGGGCTCTGGTCCAATAGTGTGGTATCAAGTCTTTGACTACGCTATTGGTCATTGGTTCCAAAAGGTATGATCTAATTTTTTGGGGCGGTTTATTATATGTGGTATATTCTRAGCAATACAATAGTGCCCTTCACAGTTCCCGGCGCCATCTTGAAACGTAGCCGTGCCTTTGCATCGAAGTGAGACGAACGGTGAGCTTGCAATGATAGGGGCCTGTAAGTAATTGTCCAAGGTGTTAAAAAAAGGTCTCTATCATTGAAAGCTCATCGTTCGTCTCGCTTCGTTGCAAAGGCTCGACTACCTTTCAAGATGGCCCAGGGAACTGTGAAAGGGAATATTGGCTGACATTGCTGATTGGTTTTAAAGGTAGCCAATCACGTCCTTGGATCTGTTCTCTGTTCACCCGGTTGCTTCAGCGTGTACCGGGCGCGTGCAATAAGAGACGTCTTGCCTATCTACGCCACTGGAGTAAATACTTCAATAGACTTCCTTACCAAAGACATGGGTACGTACATTTATTAGTTATGAGAAAATATTTGATAAAGAGTGCCCTCTGATTGGCTGGCTACGGTGTTTATATCTTAGGACAGAGGCATGGGTTTAGCTGATCTTATTCAGAACACTGCTAACTCAGATCGAATCCTGAAACAACCTCTTGCTTGATCTAAGAGCACGGCTAACTCACAGATGGAACCCTGAAACAATCTCTGGGCTGACCTAAGTCAGGGCATGGCTAACTCACAGATGGAACCCTGAAACAACCTCTGGGCTGATCTAAGTCAGGGCTGATCTAAGTCAGGGCAGGGCTAACTCACAGATAGAACCCTGAAACAATCTCCTGGCTGACCTAAGTCAGGGCACGGCTAACTCACAGATAGAACCCTGTAACAATCTCTGGGCGGATCTAAATCAGGGCATGGCTAACTTGTGAATATAACCCTGAAACAATCTCCTGGCTGATCTAAGTCAGGGCACAGCTAACTCACAGATGGAACCCTGAAACAACCTTTGAGCTGATCTAAGTCAGGGCACAGGTAGGTAACCGGCAGATTGAACCCTGAAACAACCTCTGGGTGGATCTAAGTCAGAGCACAGCTAGGTAACAGATTGAACTCTGAAACAACCTCTGAGCTGATCTAAGTCAGGACACGGCTAAATCACAGATCAAACCCTGAAACAACCTCTGGGTGGATCTAAGTCAGGGCACGGCTAACTCACAGAT